CCATTAACCAGCACACTTCAACCAGCACTAGTGTCTGTCAAGAGCTGCTCTCAATTCCAGAGCAACGCAAAGTGTGTCTATTTTAACCTCACCATGCTAGGAGAGAATAAACAGGCATGGGGACAGTTCAGACATTTACATCTTTATACTCAAGCAGGTCTCATAGAAATGGTTTGTATGTAACAAGCTTGCAAGAGCAAAAGAAAAAGAAGATTTATTTATTTGTTTAGCATGTTGCAAATGCAGAGAGATTTGTTTTCCAGTAAATGTTCTCATGTTCTTGCACAATAACCCATTTAATGATAATATTATTATCAAAGATGTAGTGGTTAAATCTATCATCTTTAGCTAGTTTAATCCAGAAAAAGTACATCGATACTCTGTATTTGTGTATTTGTGTACAAAAAAAGAAAATTGAGGTGGCTACTATGACATCACGCACTGGTTTTGGACTCATTTTGAAGCCTAACATCAGATTCTTTTAACCAGGTTTAGTTGAAGTACTAATACATAACTGTTATGTTATTATTAAGTCATTAGCTAAGGCTAACGGGCTTAGTGAGAGAGATGAACTGCAATGACAGAAGCATCACCTGGATTTGTGTTGCAAACTTCACCAAAACTACAGAACAAATTTCTTGGCTGAGCTGTAACACAACAGGGTTTTTATTATTTTTCAGATAATCCCATTAAACTGGTCCAACTGGTCAGAACAACACAAACACAGCAGATCAGGCCACTTCAGTGATTGCAGTTAGCACAGCCCCTTGACTGGGACGCCTGTCAGTCAAAGTGGCGTTCCTGGAAGTTTAGCATCCAGATGGATGACTTTTACAGAAACTCCTGTCCCGTCGTCGTCGTCCCCCCCCAGTATGAACAAGGAACCTGTGAGGACTCAGCCTTTGTACCCGGCTGTAAACATGTTTTTATGCTTACTGCACATTTCAGCTCGGGACTGGAATTGACTGAGTGGCCATTTGAGGAACTGCACAGTTGTTGGCTTCATTTTTCCATCCCAGTGGTTGATTCATTTACATCAAAACAACCGTCCATTGCTAAAGGCCAATAACGCTTTTTTAAACATGAGTCTGATTTTCCAATCTTCAAAATAAAAATAGGTGAACCACTGATCCAGCACTGAGTGAGAACTCCCCGACCACCAAAAGACGGTCTTATCTCTCTTTGTTTGTTTAAAATTATTCTATATTTTAACTATTTAACCTTCTAGGACCTGCGTCCACATATGTGGACATAACATTTTGGGTTATTTAGACCAAAATACTCAATTTTGCTCTACAAGGGTCTGATATCCACTCACGAGGACATTATACTGCTACTGTATCCTCATATGTGGCTCTTATTTTTCTTAGAAACAAAAATCTGGTAAAAACAAAATCTGGTAATTCTTTGCTTTTACATTCATCAGGTCCCAATCAGCCCAAATATCAAAGAGAAATTAAAAATGCTGCTGTGGAAGAGTTTGGGTCTTAGGAGGTCAATGTTTTTCCACTTTTCCTTGGAGGACTGTGTCTCATGTTCATCCTGACATGACTGTATTCCTACAACACCACACCTCTCACCACATCTCAGAGCGACACTTCTCTAGCATGTCACACACTTGTGTGTCTGCAGAGATCCTTTCCATCTTTCTGTCTGCACAAGAACAACAACCTCAGCCTGTCAGACGCAAAAACAAGCATTCTTACTTTGACATGTGAATTTGCCCTGTGGGATTACTTTAAAGCCATTTTGCAGTTTGCTGGTTACATTCTTACTCAGCACCGGAACAATCACAGCCATTTTAGTCAATATAAATTAGTTAGACCACAAAAGATGGAAAAAAGAGCCAAGGTTAAAAAAATGCTTTATTAAAGTGTGTCATTAATCCAGTCAATCCAACTGGGACACTGTGCCAACACTGTACAAATACTTCTAATCATCAGGAGGCAGCTCTGCTGTAACTCACGGTCAATGTTTTCACTAATATGGAAGAAATTAATGGGCTGTACTTTTGCTAAGAACACCAATAAGTGATCTGTGTGCTGTAGGGATGTAGTGAGGGGGGGGTCTCTCTAAAGTGATGAAATCTCGAGAAACTCCTATTTTAAAATGACCAACTGATTACATTTAAAAGCTGTTTTGGCCTCTGAGTAATGTACACCTTCATAACAGCGGCAGGTGATTTGCATTTGGAGAGTAGTAAGGCTGAGAGTTAAGGGCACTGCTGCTTTGATTAACAGGGTGCGCTGGGAGCTTTAGCTAAATGCTGCGTGCTAGGCCTCGGCTCTGTTAATTAAAGTCAGTGAACTGGTCCTCTCAACTGTATTGTTGCTAACGGTGTCTTTTGGATATGCCAAACACTGCGTCTTCCTGTGTGTTGAAGCACGTTTATATAGCATGTCTTTGCTTTGCATCTGTTCAGTTTATTAACGATAGCGTCAGCTGATCACGTCGGACTCACACACCCAAATAGCGATGGCTAAAACGCTGTCGCGATGGGCTCAGAAGTCCAAGTGTAGTGGTCGACCTCACAGTGGCTACGCCCAGCTCTTTTCTGCAGCACGTGTTGAACTAGGTTGTTGTTCCCAAAAGACAAAACTCATTTACAACTGTTGAGTTTTAAATTATTTAACAGATTCAGCAGTGATTTACCTGCAGGCTGGCTGGAGGTAAACTCTGCTGTGCTGTCATCTCATCTTCTTATGCCCATGATATTAACAAGCACAGCAGATAATTTCCATATGATTATTTTTTAATAGCAAAACAAAAGTGCGTGTGGTTGAAAAAAGAAAAGTCTAAGGAAACTAATCTGTATTAATGAATATAAAGGACAAACTGAACATATCGATTATTTTGTTTGACTGATTGATTCATTCTTCAGTCAGTCAGATGCTGGCAGTAAGGGGACCCATCATATGCAACAAAGCCCGAAGCAAATCCTTCAAATTGCTGACTCCATCTGATCAATATTCAGCACTGGAGGCTTTCTGTTTGAGCACAATCAGTCTTTGTGTTACAGACTAAGAGCTGTTGTTTCCATAACTCAACATTTTCAGTTATTTTCTCTCCATCAGTAACATCTTGGCTGCAACATACAAGACCGACTCCTGTTGGTGGACGGCTGTTTATTACTTACGTTTGTTTGCCTGACATCACTGATACAGCTGATACTGAGACGCCTCGGCCAGCTTCAGTTCTTTGTCACAAGAGTCTTCGTGCCCTCCTGGAAGGAACAGAACATCGAGTCGATTACTTTTATTTTACCAAAACAGCCACAGGAACAGGACAGTCTTTAATGTTAGCATGCTGTGGGGTGAATCTGACTATGTTATTACAGTGTTATTACAGTGTTATTACAGTGTTA